AAAATCAAACCCGTTGCAGTTGAGATGATCCCGACTCATAGAGACCCTGTAGGACAGAGTAGAACTGCCCCATAGGGTTTCCAAGGAGCAGCTGGTGGATTAGCCAGAGAGGGTGCTGAATTTTGTCAAATGCTTTTCTGCATGTATTGAGGTGATCATGTGATTTTTGTCCTTTATTTCATTGATACAGTGTATTACATTAATTGATTTTCATATATTAAACCCACCTTGGGTTCTTGGGACAAATCTCACTTGATCACGGAGTGTAGTCCTTTTTGTATACTGCTGCATTTGATTTGCCAGAATTGCATTGAGGACTTTTGAGTGTACATTCCAGAGATACTAGTCTGTGGTTTTCTTTTCTTTTGATGTCTTTGTCTGGTTTTGGTATGATTATAATGCTGGTCTTATGCAGTGAGTTGTGAATTGTTCCTCCTCATCTATTTTTTGTAAGAGTTTGTGAAGGATTGGTATTAATTCTTCTTTATATGTTTGGTAGAAGTTACCAGTGAAGTATCTGGGCCTGAGCTTTTCCTTGTTGGAAGTTTTAAAATTATGAATTTAATCTCTTTACTTGTTAGAGGTCTGTTCAGATTATTATTTTTGAAGAAGCCCTGGTTTGGTTTTGGTTTGTTTATTTTTGAGTCAACTTTAGTAGTTTGTGTGTTTCTAGAAATTTGTTCATTTTATCTAAGCTGTTTAATTTGTTGGCATACACTTGTTCATATTATAACCTTGTAATTCTTTTTATTTCTATAAATGTCTCTTTAATTCTTGATTTTAGTAATTTGATTCTTTTTTTTTCTTGGTCAGTCTACCTAGAAGATGTCAATTTTGTTGATTTTTTCCACAAAACCGGCTTGTGGTTTTGGTGATTTTCTGTATTGTTTTCTATTACCAATATTCTCTTAAAGATATTAAAAGTAGGAAAAATATTTTTTATGTTTACCCACATATTTATCATTTTCATTACGCTTCATTTCCTTATACAAATCCAAGTTTCCATCTGGTGTCATATTCCTACCTGAAGAAACGTCTTTGTTTTCTTTCACTCTGGTCTGCTGGCAATGCAATCTCTCAGCTTTGGTTGTCTGAAAAAAGTTTTTATTTTGTCTTTTTTTTTTTTTTGTGGCAGAATATATATAATAAAACATTTACCATTTCAGCCATTTTTGCATTTATATATGTACAATTCAGTGACATTAATTATGTTTACTATGTTGTGCGACCATCACCACTGTTTCCACATTTTTTTATCATTCTTTATAGAAATTTAGTACCCCTTAAGCAATAACTCCCTGTTTCTTCCCCCCATCTGCCCCTTGTAACACAAATAAACTTTCATGTCTATGCATTTGCTTATCTTAGATTATTTCATATAAGTGGGATCACACAATATTTGTCCTGTTTTTTGGTCTGACTTATTTTACTCAGCGTAATGTTTTCAAAGTCATACTATATATCTGGACTTCAATTCTCTTTATGGCTGAATAATATTCCATTGGATGTATATACCACGTTTTGTTCATTCATCTGCAGATGGACACTTGGGTTGTTTCTACCTTTTGACTATTGTGAATAATGTTGCAGTGAACAATGGTGTACAAGTATCTGTTTGAATCCCTGTTTTGAGTATATACCTAGAAATGGAGTTGCTGGGTCATTTGGTAATTCTGTGTTTAGCTTTTCGAGAAACCACCAAACTGATTTCCACAGTGGCTGCATCATTTTACAATCCCACCACCAGTGGATGAGGGTTCTAATTTCTTCACATCCTCCCCAACACTTACTATTTTCTGTTTTTCTGATAGTAGCCATCCTGATGGGGTTGGAGTGGTATCTCATTGTGGTTTTGATTTACATTTCCCTGATCACTAAGGATGTTGAGCATCTTTTCGTGTGCTTATTGGCCATTTATATATCTTCTTTGGTGAAACATGCATTTAAGTCCTTTGCCCATTTTTTGATAGGTTTGTCTTTTTATTGTTGAGTTGTAGGGGTTCTTTTTATATTCTGAATATTAAACCCTTATCAGATACATTGTTCCCAAAGATTTTCTCTCATTCTGTAGGTAGTCTCTTCACTTTGTTGATAAAGTTCTTTGATACTCAGAATATTTTAATTTTGATCAAGTCCAGTTTATCTATTTTGTCTTTGTTACTTATGCTTTTGGTTTCACATTAAGAATCATTGTCGAAAACTGGATCCCAAAAAACATTACTCTTATCTTTTGTTCTAGGAGTTTTATGGTATTAGTTCCTAAATTTAGGTCTTTGATCCATTTTGAGGCAGTGGATCTGAAATATGAGGTCTGGATCCAACTTCATTCTTTTGCATGTAGAGATCCAGTTGTCTCAGCACCATTTATTGAAGAGACTATTTTTTCCTTATTAAACAAACTTAGAACGCTTATTGAAATCACTTGACCATAGATGTATGAGGGCCTTCATTTCTGAAAGTTATTTTAGCTGGATATAGAATTTTTGATTGATGGTATTTTTTATTTCAGTATTTTAAAGATGTTGTTCCATTGCATTCTGGTTTGAATAATTTTGTTATGAAAAATCTCCTATTATTCTTATCAGTTTCTGTGTATGTACCTTTCCTTTTCTTTTTGTTCTGGTTGCTTTTAAAAATTTTTCTTTTTGGTGTTCAGCTGTATGTAGGAGTGTGTTTTCTTTGTGTTTATCCAGCTTGGAATTCATTAAGCTTCTTGGATCTGTGATTTTGTTTCCTTCATTTATTTTGGAACATTCTCAAACATCTCTCTTTAAATTTATTTCCTACGTTATCTTTTTTTTCCTTCTCCCCTTCTGAAATTCCAAACCTGAGTATTTTTGTGTTTGATATTGCTTGAAAGATGTTGGATGCTCTGTTCTGTATTTATTATTATTATTGTTTTTACTCCTTTTCTGCTTTGTGTATCACTATGGATTATTTCTGTTGACCGATCTGAGTCTTTTGCTGTGTCCAGTGTGCTCAGAAGCATATGTAAGTTATTTTTCATTTTGTAGATTTTGTTCTTTTTTTAAAATTTTATTATTTCTATTTGATTCTTTTATAGTTTCTATCTGTTGAAATTCCCCATTTGTTCATCAATTTTGTCCTCTTTTATACTAGATCATGTAGCATATTAATCCTATTTATTTTAAAGTCCTAGCAGATAATTCCAACACCTGGGCCTTTTCTGGTTTTGACTTTGTTGACTGCTTTAACGCTTTTTTTTTTTTTTCCTGATCTTTTTATGTATCTTACAAATTTTTATTGAGTGCTAGATGTTGTGTTTAAAAGAATAGTAGAGACTGAGGTTAATAGTATTTATGCCCAGAAGTAAGCATACCTCTTTTTTGTTGTTTTTAGGACATTAGTGTGGGGGTTTTGAACCTATCTGGTCAATAGTTGAGCTCAAATTGAGATGGGTTTTGTATTTTTCTATTGCTAGTTACTTTCAACATGCCATAGACTTCAAATTTTTCTAGTGATGGGATCCTACTACCTGTGCTTAGTGTGGAATTTGGAGTCCTAGAGGTTTTTCCTCAGTGTCTTTGCTCCGTTCACAGCTTTCAAGAAGCCTGGCACACCTGAGCCACAACGGAGTCGCTCTTTGTGCTCCTGCTCTGGAGCAGTAGGAGATTGCTGTTGCCTTCCACTTAATTCAGTACTAATACATGAGACGGGGGCTGCTAGGTTCTCCTGCTGCAGTCTCAGCCTTAGGCAGGCCCTGTATGCCTGTGAGTCAGTTGGGTATTCTATTCACCTACCCTCTCTACCCCCTGCCCCCCAATATCCTTGTACCAAATTTGAGGGAGGGCTTGAACTGGAGCAAGTTTCCTGCTTCTCCCCCATTAATGCTTTGTTTGTATCAGTGTAAGATCCTAGGCTGGAGTAGATTTTGGCCCATTCCCAGTAGCAGAAGAGGATTTGAAGCATTTACTGATGAAGATCAGAGACTACAGCCTTCAGTATGGATTACACCTCAACATAAAGAAAACAAAAATCCTCACAACTGGATGAATAAGCAGCATTGTGATAAACAGAAAATATTGAAGTTGTCAAGGATTTCATTTTACTTGGATCCACAATCGACGCCCATGGAAGCAACAGTCAAGAAATCAAATGATGCATTGCATTGGGCAAATCTGCTGTGAAAGACCTCTTTAAAGTTGGTAAAAAGCTAAGATGTTATCTTGAGAACTAAGGTGCACCTGACCCAGGCCATGGTGTTTTCAGTCGCTTCATATGCATGCGAAAGATGGATGATGAATAAGGAAGACCAAAGAAGAATTGCTGCCTTTGAATTATGGTGTTGTGAAGGATATTGAATATACCATGACTGCCGGAAGAATGAACAAATCTGTCTTGGAAGAAGTACACCCAGAATGCTCCTTAGAAGCAAGGATGGTTTGACTTTGTCTCACGTACTTTGGACATGTTTTCAGGAGGAACCAGTCCCTGGAGAAGGACATCATGCTTGGTAAAGTAGAGGATCAGCGAAAAAGAGGAAGATTCTCAATGAGCTGGATTGACACAGTGGCTGCAACAATGGGCTCAAACATAGCAACGACTGTGATGGTGCTTTAGTACTGGGCAGTGTTTTGTTGTGTTCTACAAAGGGTCGCTATGAGTTGACCGACTCAGTGGCACCTAACAACAACAACAACCAATAGCAGAAAGCTGCTTTCTCTACTCTCCCTCAGTGTCATCTGGCCTTTGCCAGTGATCACGGGGTGGGCAGATTCCCACCTGTTGCCCAGCAACAGACAGATTTTGCTTTTACCCGTCTTTCAGCAGCAGCTGAGCTTTTCCATGGGCAAGGTGTATGAGAGTTTCCTTTTCAGATGTTTAAAAATTTTCCTTAACATCTTTATGTATCAGATTTCAGTGTTGTCTCTTTAGAAGGGAAGTACTTGATGGGCAGAGGCTGAATCTTAAATTTTTAAAGAGGGATGCTTACTGTTTGGTTTTTATTGTAATATGCCAATGTGTTTGTTCTTTTCCAGCTTAGGCTTGATTTCCGACTCTTTTCACATGTTTTTCGATAGCACTGCCATTTTGGCTGGATTGGCAGCTTCAGTTATTTCCAAGTGGAGAGATAATGATGCTTTCTCTTACGGGTAAGACTTTTTAAAAGCATTTTTATTAAAGTACAAGATATACGGAAAAATGCACAATCTTAATTAAACTCAATGAATTTTCATAAATTGAACCCACTTGTATAACTTACACCCTTAAAACCATTGCATGCCTCCTTTACACCTCTCCAAGGGCAACCACTTTCCATGGATTAGTTTTGCTTGTGTTTGAATATTATATAATTGGAATCTGCAATATGTACTTTGTTTTGCGTATCTGTTTATTTGCTGAGCGGGTAGGGCATTTTGATTTTACCAAAACTTTTTAGGTAAGGTTGTTACTATATAGGGGAATTCTCAGCTCTTAACATATTTTATTTTTTGAAGAAGAAGAAAAAAGAGTTTCAGTATACGAAAATGGTCATTTTTTTTTTCCTTCTTTTTCTTTTTGGAGTGATAGTTTGCTGTTATATTATTCAAAATCACTGTTTCCTAATATGGTTTTATATTTGTCTTCTTTGCCCTGTTTTTGTGTAAAATACTTCTCATACTTTTGCTGAATTTGGACAATTAATCAAATATTTGGAGAGTGTTTTTATGGGGAAGGAGCTATACTGAATTATCTGGTCTTCTGAACTGAGTACCCTTAGAAGCAGAGTTTGCTTTTTGCCATCTCTGATGGGGGAAGAAATGGATTTTCGATTATTTGACTTATGATGCTTGAGTTTTTTCTTTTGTCAGCCCATAGGCTATTTTGCCTTGAAATTTGTGTGTAAGCAAAGCCCAGACTAACATGGTTTTTCTTTCTTTCCCCACCCCCTTTCACTTTCCTGCTCCCTTCTCTCTCCTGCTTACTTGTCATTTCTTTCCCTTCTTCTCTTTCCCTCTTCCTTCTCCCTCTCCCCCATGATCATTCTCTCCCATTTTCCCTCCTCTCTTCATCTGTTTTTCCTAATTTCTCTCCTTTTTTTGCTCTTGTCCCATTTTCATAGCCATTGTCTTATCTTCTCCTGAACTCCCTTCTCTCTCCCTTGTCCTTTCCTTGGAGGATTTGGGCTTGTACTTGTGATCTTTCTGTATCCCTCTCTTCTCCCTCCTTCTTTCTACTCTTCCCTTCCTTTCTCACGTTTTTCCTCGTCTACCTTTTCTTATTCGTTTTCTCTTGATCTCTCCCCTACCCTTTACCACTTTGTAAAGATTTCTAATTCTCCCTCTCCCCCTCTGTTAACCTCCCTAGCTCTGATTCTTTTTCCTCTTCCTTTCCCAGTTTCCCTTTCTCTCTCCCACAGATTCTCGTACCCTGAGTCTCCCTTTCCTGTGCAGTTTTGATCATTCTGTTCACATCCTCTGACTTCTATGCACCATCTCCTATACCCATCATTCTTTCTTTTACTCTTTCTTCCTTACTACTTCATCTTTCTCCACAGCTTGGCTTTTCCTTCTTTGGCAGTCACACTGTCTATCTTGCACATGTTCTTGCTGTCTTCATATATTTATTGAGGGTCCACTATGAGTCAAATACTTCGCTGTATCTGATGATACAAAAATGAGTAAGACATACTCCTGCCTTGAAGGAGCTTGTGATCTGATGGGGAAACAGTACTGTAAAAATACCAGAACAACTATGCATAGTGACAAGTGCTAAAAGAGAGACATATGAAGTTCTCTGGTAGAACTTGCTGACTTTAACTGTATGGATATGATTATTTGTAAAATTATAAAAAGTGAGAAAAATTAATTCTATCTTTCAATAGCATAGGGCAAGAAATCCTTATCTGTATAAATCCACACAGTTCGAAAGCTTAGATAAGAACATTTTTTATAACACTATATTGCTGATATTTAAATAATCTTGAACTGTAGTTATTAAGAGGAGCCCTGGTAGTGCAGTGGTTAAACGCTTGGCTGCTAAATGAAAGGTAGGCGGTTTGAACTCACCAGCTGCTCCACGGGAAGAAGATGTGGTAGTTTGCTTTCATAATGATTACAGACTTGGAAACCCTGTCAGGCAGTTCTCCTTTGTCCTGTAAGGTTGCTATGAGTCGGAATTGACTCGATGACGGTAGGTTTTTTTTGGTTTATAGCTGTTAAGGAGCACAAATGGTTAAGCACTAGACTGCTGTCTTAGTTATCTAGTGCTACTATAACAGAAATACCACAAGTGGAAGAAAAGTTTATTTCCTTACAGTAAAGTAGGCTAAAAGTCCAAATTCAGGGTGTCATCTCCAGGGGAAGGCTTTCTCTCTCTGTCGGTTATCTTCGGTGTTCCCCCGGACTAAGAGCTTCTCTGTGCAGGGACCCTGGTCCAAAGGACGCGCTCTGCTCCCAGCACTGCTTTCTTGATGGTATGAGGTCCCCCTGTCTCTCTGCTCACTTCTCTCTTTTATATCTCGAGAGATTGCCTCAGGACACAATCTAATCTTAGAGACTGAGTCCTGCCTTACTAACACAACTGCTACCCATCCTCCCTCATTAACATCATAGAGGCAGCATTAAAACATACAGGAAAATCACACAGTGCCAGGAATCATGGCCCAGCCAAACTGACACACACATTTTTTGGGGGACATAATTCAATCCATGACAGCTGCTAACCGAAAGGTTGCTGGTTCAAATCCATGCAGTGGTTCTGCCGGAGAAAGACGTGGTGATCTGCTTCCATAAAGATTACAGCCAAGAAAACCTTATGAGGCAGTTCTGCCCTGTCACATGGGGTTGCTATGAGTGAAAATTCAACTCAACTGCACTTAACAACAACAACAGCATAGCTATTAAAGGAGTCCCTGGGTGGTGCAAATGGTTAAGCACTTGACTAATACTCGAAATGTTGGCAGTTTGAACTCACCCAGAGGTGCCATGGAGGGATAGGCCTGGTCATCTACTTCTGAAAGGTCACAGCCTTGAAAACCCTATTAAGTATTTCTACTCTGCACACACGGGGCTGTCAGAATTTTCTTGATGGCAGCTAACAGCAACATAGGTATTAAAAGATTCTTAAGTATAAATCATTAAATAAAGATTATATGTAAAGTTATATTTTTGCTTTCTGCGAAACTAGTAATTCATGTATGTTTTATATCAGAAATATAATTGGAATATTGTGTTCGACAATCTTCCTGGATAAACCGTAGGTGACTATTAAAAATTCTTCACAGTTTCTTTATTCTTGAGGTACTTATTGTTTCATATTTAGAATGCATTGTCACCTGCCATAAGATAGTTTTGAGCAATAGCTTTGAATCCTTCAATAGCACAGCAGGTTTTAATATTCAACTTTAACTTGTTAATAGAGTAATATTTTTGCTGTCTTTTTTAAAATTTCCTATCCTGTTCTTTACTTTTTTGTTATTTCTTATACTGTCCTCTCCTTATTTGCTTTTTAAAAAACCTTTCGGGAAGAGAAAATTTAGAGAATAAAAGCTTGAAACTGTTAATAGTTGCTGTAGCTCAGGCTGCTAACCAAAAGGTTGGCAGTTCGAATCCACCAGCTGCTCCCTATGGGACAGTTTTACTCTGCCATATATGGATGCTATGAGCTGGAATTGACAGCAGCAGTTTTGGTTGTTTTTTTTTTTTTGTTGTTGTTGTTTTTCCCAGTAGTAGTAAATAGCAGCAATAGTTAACTACTGATGTCAGCACATCAAAATGAAACTGAATGAGCTAGCCTAGGGATGAATCCCAAAAATCCTCCAATTCAACAAAATTACAATAGCTGACTGACTCTGTAATAGAGGAAACAATAGGGGGAATCTGAGAGGCAGAGAAGACCTGTCAGTATTCTTTACATAAAAATCATCTTTGTGTCCTGCTGCGCTCCTATTTTTGAAATAGCAAAGCCAATATAAAAGTTATATACAGCCTGTAGGTAGATAGATGCATGCATACATGCTTATATACATATGTACATATACTTGTATCTTTTTTTGCCCTAACAGAAGAATCCAAACACCAGCCGTGCTTAATTAGACAACAGCACTCACCACATTCATGAATTACACGTTCTAATTCTGTGACTCACTCTGTTCAAGTAAACATAGTCATTTGTAAATGCATATGTGTCTGGTTTTCACAGGTTTTAATTTTAAACTTGCAGCCAAGGTTAGCAAATAAGCCTAATTAAATCACTTTACCCCAATAACTTATCAGAATTTATGGAGCGCCTACTAAGCTGGGCTTTTGGAACAAAAAGATGCCTGAAAAAACATTCGTGCCTTTGATCTTGAAATCTAGTTGAACTCAAGGGCAAAAAGCTTTCAGTCAGGCATTAACTATGGATTAGAAGTATGGGTTAAAAGAAAGTACTTTTTATTTTTTTAACAGTAACCCTGTGGATTTATTAAATATATTCCTAAGTGTGGGTTGTGGAAAGCAGGCTGCAAATTATTTAAATTTAATGAACTTTTTCTCCAGAGGAAAAGTATGTATATTCTTTGACAAATAATGTATTAAGTCATTTGTGTTAGAAGATAGAAGTATGCATTATTCCTGAGGATAGATACATATGCTGTGTTGGAATGCACTTGGCAGGGCAAACTCCAACATAACTGGATAGTGTACTTTTTAAGTAGTTTATTCTCTAAACATATTTTTACAGTAAAAATTGTATTATCTAGAAGTTAACATAGAAGGTTAGAGAAAGCAGCATTTGGATGCTTCCAGTATATTGTTTAAGGACCAGAGTGATTAACTGCTGTCAGCACCCTTTGAATGATGCTTGAACGTGTAAAATGCCAAGTTAAAGTTGTTTCTAATGACTTTAACTAATCCAAATATACTTAATGGAAAAATAAAATCTCTCCCCAATGCTTCACACAGGTAGGAAGCAGAAAGCTTCAGAAGTCCATGGAGAAAAAGACAGGTATTTTGAAAATAGTTTAATTAGAATTATATGAAGCTAGAATTGATTCTAAAAATAGGTAATTGAAAAGTTTTTGCTAAATTTATTAATCTTAGAAAAAGAGTGATAGAAATATAAACCTCAAGTTGTCTCAGGGATAATTCAGAAAGCTCTACTTTCCAAAGATTTAAAAGTTGGAAGGTACAAAACAAAGTATTAGGCATTCTTAGAAAAGGAAGAATTAATACATTATAAAATCCCCTTTTTCTAGCACCTTTCTTTTACTTTTTATCCTTGGATCTTTCCTCCTCTGCCCACTTGTCTGGCCGTATTCTTCTTTCTCCAGTGGCAACTTGAGATTTACATTTCTGTGGAAGGTCTTTCTAAACCTACTTATGCTAGAAGGTCTTTTGATTGGCTTGTAGAAATCTATGTATTTTATGGCCTTCCGGTATTAAACGTAATTCATGGTGTTTAAAATGTATTCCCTCACTCAGTTCACAATGTATATAAAGTGCGCTATACTATAAATACTGGAACTTTGCTGGCTGGCCACTTAAAACCATATAATATGGTTTAGACTCTGAACATATGTAAATCTGTGATTTGATTTTTGAGAAATAACTTAATAATTCAGTTGTTTACTTTGCTCTTCTTTAGGTATGTTAGAGCGGAAGTTCTGGCTGGCTTTGTCAATGGCCTATTTTTGATCTTCACAGCTTTTTTTATTTTCTCAGAAGGAGTTGAGGTATAGTAGATAATGATTAGAGTCAGTAAATTGTTTTCTATAATGAAAATCTTTGTTAAAGGTACATGTAAAAGAGCTGTTTTCACATTATCATTAAGTATTGAGAGCAGCCTTGGATTAGCTAAAGTAGTATGTGTGTATAGGAGAGGTTTATAAAATGATTGGAAAAAATTAAAGATATGTGAAATTACTTGAGATTGAAAACAAGTAAATGATAATACTTTACAAGCCATGACTGAAGTGTTGACACTGTGAAAAGCAAAGGTGCAATCTGGGTAGTGAGGTCAGTTGGGAAGAGTACTTAAAGTAGAACCTGAGAGTTTTGCCAATGAAGTTATAGTGCTTGATAATTAAAAAGAAAGAAAAGAAAAGAAAAAAAAATTTAAAGATTAGTGAACTTAAAATGATACGCAGTATCTCAAGATACTAAAGGACAGGTCTTGAACCAAACGGTCATGCTTTTAAATATTTATATTGTTAAAAAATAGCAGTCCTTACCTTTTTGTTGGAATATGTGAGCACTGGTTTTATTTCTGTAAACTATTGTGGCAGATATATTTGGAGTACTTTTAATTCTGAAAGCAACTAAAGTTTTTTTTTAAATTGCTTTATGTTCTTATCTGTTTTTTGATTAGAATTTATATCAACGCTATTTCTTTGTATTGTGTGTTTTCTAGAGAGCATTAGCCCCTCCAGATGTACACCATGAGAGACTGCTGCTTGTTTCAATTCTTGGGTTTGTGGTAAACCTAATAGGAATATTTGTTTTCAAGCATGGCGGTCATGGACATTCTCATGGCTCTGGTATGATGGTTAGAACCCTTTGTTTCTATTACAATTATTCGCTTTTGAAAATTGATAAATAATTTTAAAAGTTAAGCTTTATATTGATTTTTAATAATGAGTACTATGTTAATAGACTCTTATGAAGGCCTTGAATTATTTCTCCTGCTTCTTCATGCCATTCCATCTCATTTCCTCCTCATGTTATCATGTTATCTTTTTTGCAGAATCTGACAAGCTAATCATGTTACCAGTTTGATGTGAATTCTTCTAGACTTCTGTAGGCTGCTTAGTATGATACCATTTGTATAAAACAAACATCAGAAAACCACAAAAGAAATCCGTTAAATTTTTTTATTGTGTGTGTGTGAAATTTGCTATACACTTTGAGATCCTTCCAGTTGGTATGTATCAGTCTCCCTTGTCTTTTTAACAGTCACATAAAAGCCCATGATATGGGTTACCATGGTTTATTTAGCTAGTCTTCTGTGGATAGACTTGTAGTTTTTCACTCTTCCACATGAAATATATCCTTGTGAACACCATACAGCATTTGTCCCATATGGTTTCATAGCATTAGCTCTTAACATTTAGTCTGTGAGCCATCTTGGGTTAATTTTTTGTATATGGTGAGGTAAGGGTCCCAGATTATTCTCTTGCATGTAGATATTTAGTTGTTCCAGCATAGTTTGCTGAAAAGATTATTTTTCCTCCGTTGAGTTATCTTGGCACCCTCATCAAAAATCAGTTACCCATAAATGTGAGGGTTTATTTATGGACTGTCAGTTGTATTCCATTCATCTGTATGTCTATCTTTGTGTAAGTACCATGCTTTCTATATTAATATCGCTTTAGAGTAGTCTTTAAAATTGGAAAGTGTGAATTATTTAACTTTCTTCTTCTTTTTCAAGATTGTTTTGGCTATTTGGGATCCCTTGCTTTCCTGTATGAATTTTGGAGTCAGCTTGTCAGTTTCTCCAAAGAAGACAGTTGGGATTTTGTTAGGGATTTCATTGAATCTGTAAATGAATTTGGGAAGTAATATTATCTTAACAGTGTTAAGTCCCTTATTAATGATCATAGGATGTCTTTCCATTTATATCTTCTTAATTTCTTTGAGCAGTATTTTATAGTTTTTAGTATTCAAGCCTTGTATTTCTTTGTTAAATTTATCCCCAGGCATTTTGTTCTTTTTGCTGTTATTATAAGTGAGATTGTTTTCTTAATTTCATTTTTGGATTGCTCATTGCTAGTGTATAGAAATACTGTTGATCTTTGTATATTAATCTTGTGTCTTGCAACATTGCTGAACTCATTTATTAGTTCTAGTAAGGTTTTTTGTGGCTTCCTTCCAAAAAAAACCTGTTGCCGTCGAGTCAATTCCGACTCATAGCAACCCTATAGCTTTCTTAGGATTTCTTATATATAAGATCATGTCACTGGCAAATAGAGATAGTTTTATTTCTTCCTAATTTCCCTGTGATTTCTTCTTTGAGTGTGTTGTTTCATTTCCACATGTCAATGAATTTCTCTAATTTTCTTCTGTTGTTGATTTCTAATTTAATTCCTTTGTCATCAGATGACATCTTTATGCTTTTAGTATTTTTCAATTTGTTGAAGTTTGTTTTATTGCCTTGCATTTGGTCTTTTCTGGAGAATGGTCTGTGTGCTCTTGTGAAAAATATGTATTCTGCTGTTTTGGGTGGAGCATTCTAACAGATGTCTGTTAGGGCTAGTTTGCTGACCTGCTGCCTAGTTTTTCTATCCATTATTGAAAATGAGATATTGAGATCTCCAACTGTTACTGTTGAGCTGCCTATGTTTGCATTCATTTCTGTCCATTTTTGCTTCATGTACTTTGGAGCTCTGTTATTCATTACATATATGTTTGTAATTGTTATATCTTCCTGACAGATTGATCTTTTTATCATGATAAGATACTCTTTTTTGTATCTTGCAACAATTTTTATCTTAAAGTCTGGTTTGTCTGATATTAGTATAGACACTCCAGCTCTCTAATGTTTATTGCTTGCACCGTATATTTTTTTCCATTTTTTTACTTTTCAATCTGTCTTCGAATTTAGAGTGTTTCTTTTGTTGTCAGAATACAGTTGGATCATATTCCCCCCCCCATTCTGTCAGTCTCTGCCTTTTGATCAGAGTGTTTAAACCATTTATGTTTAATGTAGTTACTACTGAGGTAGGATTTATGTTTGCCACTGTAATATTTGCTTTCTGTATCATCTGTCCTTTTTGTTTCTCTCTTACTCAATTTTTGCCTTTTATGTTGGATAATTTCTAGTGTACCTTTTTAATTATTTCTTTTACTATATATTTTTAAGGTTTTTTTTATGGTTGCCTTGGGCATTATGAGTAGTATCTTAACTTAAAACAATATAGTTCAGATTAATACTATCTTAAATTTATTAATATATAAAAACTTTGCACCAGTATATCCCCAGTGCTTCCCCTTCCTTTGTACTAGCGTTGTAAAAAAAATTACATTTTTATACGTTATAAACCCATCAACACAGTTTTATAATTGTTTATGCAATTGTCTTTTAAAACGGGTAGGAGAAGAAATGAGTTAAAATACAAATATGTTTATACTCTTTTCATAATACCTACGTAGTGAACTTTTTACCAGTGCTCTCTATTTTTTTGTGTATGGATGTGAGTTACCATCTAGTGTTTTTTATTTCAGCCTGACGGACTCTCTTTACTATTCTTTGCAGGGCTGGTTTTTGTTTATCTGGAAGTGTCTTAATTTCCCCTTCATTTTTAAAGGAGAGTTTAGCTAGATATGGAATTCTTGGTTGCTGGTCTTTTTCTTTCAGCACTTTGAAGATGTTGGTCTTTTTCTTTCCACACTTTGAAGATGTCATCCCAGTGTCTTTTGGCCTCCATAGTTTCTGTTGAGACGTCAGCTATTAATGTTATTGAGGTTCCTTTGTATATGATAAGGTGTTTTTCTTTTTGTGTTTGACTGTTATCAGTTTGATTATCATGTGTCTAGGTGTGGCCTGGTTTAAATTTAGTCTACTTGGAGTTTATTGTGCTGCTTGAATGTGTTGATTAATAATGTTTTACATCAAATTTGAGGGGTTTTCAGCCATAATTTCTTCAAATATTTTTTCTGCCTCTTTCTGTTCTCCTTTTGGGAATCCTGTTATGCTTATGTTGGTATGCTTGATGTTTCCACAGGTCTCTGAGGCTCTGATCATTTTTCTTCATTTTTTTTTTCTCTTTCTGTTCCTCACAGTGGATAATCTCTGTTGACTCATCTTCAAATTCACTGTTATTGCAACTTAAATCTGTTGTTAAGCCCCTCTAGTATATTTTTTATTTCAGTTACTATAGTTTTCAAGTCTAGAATTTCTGTTTGGTTCTTTTTTATAATTTGTATCCCTTATTGATATTGTTTGGTGAGTGTCTTAGTTTCACTATAGCAGAAATACCACGAGTGGGTGACTTTAGAAACAGAAATTTATTTTCTTACTGTTTAGGAGGCTAGAAGTCTGAATTCAGGTCACTGGCTGTAGGGGAACGCTTTCTGTCTCTGTCAGCTTTGGGGGAAGGGCGTTGTCTCTTTTCAGCTTCTGTTCCTTGGTTCTTGGTAGTCTTCATGTGATGTGTGTCTTCCCCTCCATCTGTGAGATACATGTCACATGATACTATTTTTCTTGTTGCGTGACTTTCATGGACTAATTAGGTACATTCCATGTTCCGTGCAGTATGTGCCCATTGAATTCTCTGCTGGCCTTTCTTTTTTTTTTTTCTTCCTTAAGTTCTTGTTTTAATTTTTAACCTGGCTTCTTAGAGTCAATATAATGTAGCAGTCAACCAATGAATAGTCAGAAAATTTTCTTAAATGCTTTGCCTGTATGTCTTCCACCCTTTGCCAAGGGGATCTGTGTGAGAAGACATGCCTTCAGACTTTAGACACTTTTACAAGATGGCCTTAGCTTTCACTTCTGACTTGTGCAGGGCCTCAGGGTCAGCTAGAGGGTGAGTGACTGCTGATTTTGCCTTTCCTAGATATTTCCTGCATGCATGCAGCCTTTTAGACCTCAGGAATGTGTTGAAGGTTTTCAGAGTTTCATATGATCTTCTAGTTCTCCAGGATTTCCTTTTGAATTCCTGTTCAGGCTCTTGTTTTCCCCAGCTGAAATCACAGCCTTGCTACAAATTTGCTGTTGTTTTGGTAATGCCCTGTCCCCTCTCTCCTTAGCTGAACTGAGCTCTGAGTCTAATGGCCACCACGCTCTGAGAATAGAGATTTTTTCAGGGAAATGCAAGTTCAGGCAAAATGTTGATTGTGCTCTGGAGATGGTGGTTTTAGAGGAGCTCCAAAAGAGATCAGATTTCTTCATTGGCTACAGTGCTGCCGACTTTTGACTACCTTGCTTCTGGGAGGGAGGGAGAATAAGAATCACTCCAAGTTAAAATGTCAGACCCCACTGTCTTAGCGAGATTCAGTAGTTTCTCTTGGGTAGATGATATTCATTCTGTGGCTTTGGCTAATTGCCCAAGTTATGAAATGGTTGATTTTTAGTTGTTTTAGAGAGAGAGCTAGTTCACCAAGGTCCATTCTGGAAGTTTATCTCCCGTGTTTATGATTTGTTGCTTATTTAATACAATACTGTGTGTGATTTATTGGTATTTAGGATTTTTGTGAAGTGTTTCTAAGTGATATTTTTGATTTGGATAGCATCCAGTCTTTGTCTGTGCTTTGGAATAGCTTCTATAAGGTGAGCCTTGCTTTTTTCCTGATGGTTTAGGAGTTTTTAGTGGTTAAGTGCTCAGCTGCTAGCCAACATTCAGGGTCCGAATCCACCTGCTGCTCTGTGGGAGAAAGATGTGGCAGTCTCCTTCTGTAAAGATTGTAGCCTTGGAAGCTCTGTGGGGCAATTCTGCTCTGTCCCATAGGGTCACTATGAATCAGAATCAGCTAGACAGCAATGAGTTTGGTTTTAGTTTATGGAGGGAGTATCCATTATTATTTTGTTTGAGTTTTTTCTAAGGATTCTACCGACTTTAATATAAGTTTACTGATCTTTGCCTTTAATAAATGTAGCAACTTCCCTGCCTCTTCTTCAGTGTGATCATATGCATACATCTTGTTTTATCTTTGTTAGTGCATGTAATAATACTTCAAAGTTTTTTTCGCCAAGATTTTTGTCTGTGTTGTTCATTGTTTTATCCTCAGTGCCTAGAGTGGTGTGTACAACACAGTATTTTCCAAATAAGTATTTTCAAATGAATGAATAAAATTATCTAATATGTCTGAATATTTCTCATCTTGTCATCTCCAGTAAGGCCCATCACTTCCTTTCATACTTAATTTCCTTCCTTACTCCATAGTAGGAACTCTGTCAGTATTGTTTAATGAATGAATAACACTTTTTATAAGTAAATGTTTATTGAGTTGAATATGGTTTTAGAGCTGATTTTTTTTTAAACTAATGTCAGTATTGTTGTAACCATTTATGTAATTATATTTTTACATACCTTCTGTTCTCATACTCTTTGTTTTCCAGGCCATGAACACAGTCATTCCCTCTTTAATGGTGCTCTAGATCAGGCATATGGCCATGGAGATCATTGCCATAGTCATGAATTGAAACATGGTGCTGCACATAGCTGTGATCATGCTCATGGACATGGGCACTTTCATTCTCATGGTGAGTACATCCTAGAGATTTTCAAAGTAGACAGCCTTCTGAATGAACATAAATTATATAGATTACTTTCCCTCATTGAAATATTCTTTAAAGGATAATGCAATCAATTTCTTTTCTAATGAATCAGTCTAAATGGTTCCCAGGACTAGTTTATCTTTAATACAGCGTGAAATTCACTCGGTGTAAGGCAGTGATTGTAGCTTTTTTTAATGAGTATATCGTAATAAAATGCCACTATTTTAAATGTGTTAGTGAATGAGGGTCATTTAGTAACTGAAAATCATGACTTTTTAAAAATATAACCAGGCCTTTTGTGTTGTATAGACTTGTAAAAATACAATGGGATTTTTAAACTTTTACATTTTTGTTGTACTAATTTGATGGTTATCACTTGATGTTTACCTCCATGTTCCCTTAGAAATCTTTATAGCATTGAGTACTGAGTTATAAAATAATTCTCAACTCAAGTAATTAATATTTATTTTAAAATTATATTTTAAATTGTTTATTCATGAAATTCCAGAGTATAGATTAATAGGCAGAAGCTGTTTATTAGGTGATACAATTTGATTAATCTTTAAATTGTTGTTAGCTGCCTTTGAGTCGGTCCCCTACTCATGGCAAGCGCATTCACAATGAGATCAGACCATTTGATTCATAGCATTTTCATTGGCTAATTTTTCACAAGTAGAACACCAGGCCTTCCTTCCTGGTCTTAGTTTATAAACAGGTAACTGAGGCACAAAAAGATAAAATTTAGTATAAAAAAAAAACAAACCAAACTTGCTGCTGTTGACTCGATTCTGACTCATAGCAACCCTGTAGGACAGAGTAGAACTGCCCCATAGGGTTTCCAAGGAGCACCTGGTGGATTCAAACTGCTGACCTTTTGGTTAGCAGCCATAGCTCTTAACTAGTATGCCACCAGGGTTTCCAAATTTAGTATAGAAACTGGTAAATAGAAATCTAAAGCCAAAATCTATGCTCTTACTTGTTAATTCTTTTTTTTTTTTTTCATTCAACAAATGTTTATTTAGGACTTACTATATGCCAGGCACTGTTCTAGGCATTTGGAATAGAGCAATGAATAAAATAAAGGCTTCTTCCCTTGTGGAGCTGACATTCTAGTAGGAAAGACAGACAGGAAACAACATATATACACAGTAGTATATTGACTCTAAAATGGCAGTAATATAAATGCACCATTGTTCTGTATGTCACTAAAGAAAGAATGTTGCAAATCAATTGCTGTCAATTATAAAATGCATCCTGATTTCATGTCTGTTAAAATGCAACTTAGAATTGATTAACCCATTACCGTTGAGTCGATTTCAACTCATAGCAACCCTACAATTGATTACAATGGGTAAATAAATTATTAGTACATGTTAAAATAACCCATTGCCATTGAATTGATGCAGACTCATAGCAGCCCCATGTGATAGAGTAGAACTGCCACATAGGGTTTTCTTGGCCGCAGTTTTTTTTTTTCCCAAGACAACATGACATTTTAATCAGCATTGTTTTTAGAAGAGTAAAGTAGAGGAATATCATAACATCATCATTGTCATCATCGTCACCATACACATCATCCTGGAAAGAGTTGTTGAGTAGGTTCCATGTGCCAGGTACTGTCTAAAGCACTAGCACATATTGTCTCATTTAGTCTTCATAACCATTTTGTGTCAGTCATATTCTTTCTTAATCTTCACAACATACTTAACAGTTTTTCAACTCTTTTACAAGCTGAATCTTTTCTTGTTAATACTTGAAATATTTTAAAGCCAGTGAGAGTCCTTAGGTGGTCCAAATGGTTTGAGTCCACCCAGAGGTGCTTCAGAAGACAGGCCTGGCAATCTGCTTCTGAAAGGTTACAGCCTTGAAAACTCTGTGGAGCAGTTCCACTCTGTAGCACATAGGCTTGCCATGAGTCAGAATCGACTTGATGGCAACTAACAACAAAAATTGTGAACCTTCTCCCTTAGCCTCCTGTCAGGTTGAATTTCTCTTGGCTGTTCAGCTGCTCTTCATAATGCACAGTTCAGAGTCCATAAACTACTGGTCACTCTCTTCTAAATGTACTCCAGTTTGCATATGCCATCTATTCTATTTATATTATCCTGCATATTCATTTTAAAGTGTGACATGCTAACAGTGGCAATAGCTATGTTGGAGGAGCTTTTTCTTTTTTTTTAATGTGCTTTAGGTGAAAGTTTACAGCTCAGACTTGTTTCTCATTCAAAAATTTATACACATATTGTTTTGTGACATTGGTTACAGTCCCCACAATGTGACAGCACTCGTCCCCTTTACCACCTGGGTTCCCTGTGTCTTTTCATCCAGTTTTTTTCCCTTCCTGCCTTTGCGTCTTGCTTTTGGGCAGGGGTTACTCATTTGGCCTCGTATATTTTGATTGAACTAAGAAGCACATTCCTCATGTATATTGTTTTATAGGCTTGTCTAATCTTTGTCTGAAAAGTGGGCTTTGGGAGTGGTTTCAGTTCTGAGTTAGCAGAGTGTCTGGGGGCTGTAGTTTCAGGGGTTCCTCCAGTCTCTGTCAGACCAGTAAATCTGGTCTTTTTTCATGAATTTGAATTTTTCTCTGCATTTTCTCCTGCTCTGTCTGGGACTGTTGTGATCCCTGTCAGAGCGGTTGGCAGTGCTTGCCAGGCACCATCTAGTTCTTCTGGGCTCAGGCTGGTGGAGACTCTGGTTCATGTGGTCCTGAAGTCCTTTGGGCTAATATTTTCCTTGTGTCTTTGGTTTTTTTCATTCTCCTTTGCCCTGGATGGGATGGTCTTACCTTTTATTCTGCCTTCAGTTTGTATAAGTCAATCCGGGACGTGAAGGTAATGTGGCCGTGATTCTATTTTGCTCATAAATAGACATTCTAGTCTCTCTGGGAAGTCCTGTGAGCTTCATATTTGTGAATATGAATAAATATTGAATGCCATAGTGTGAGTAAAGCTAGCTGTATTTAAAAAAGAAAAAGGCATAAATCTCAGAGACTTAAGCAGTAAAGTTGTTTTTCTTGCTCTTAGGTTGTTGGGATAGAGTAAGGGCTCTGTTCCTCATAACAATTCAGAAATCAAGGCTCCTTCTGTCTATAGGCTTCTCAGTCTTTAGGCCCTTGTGATCCTCCACTGTCTTCTCTGTTTTCAGCTGGGAGAGTACATAGAAGATCATGTGGGCATTCTTATGGTCCTGGAAGTGGTTTACTTCTCATATTTCTTTGTCCACAACTCAGTCACATAGTACTACCTAACTCAAGGGAGCCATGTATTTTAGCTGTATACCTGTCTTATTTATCTAGTGCTGCTATAACAGAAACACCACAAGTGGATGGCTTTAACAAAGAAAAATTTATTTTCTCACAGTCTAGGAGGCTAGAAGTCCAAATTCAGGGTGCCAGCTCTAGGGGACGGCTTTCTGTCTCTGTCATTTCTGGGAGAAGGTCCTTGTCATCAGTCTTGCCTGGTCTTTGACTCAGCAACCACATGTGACAAAGTGGAGCTCTCCATAGCGTTTTCTTGGCTGTAATCTTTATGGAAGCAAATCACCAGGTCTTTCTCTGTGGAGCTGCTGAGTGGATTTGAACCGCCAGCCTTTCAGTTAGCAGCTGATGCTTAACTGTTGCACCATTAGGGCTCCTTAAAATCAGCATAGCAAGCTATGTTATAAGGCATTTTATGAAAATTAGAGGATTTTCACAATGTTTTTAATTACTGTACTTTTTACCAGATTGCTTAATATAATAATTTCCTAAATACTCTGTACCCTTGGTGCATTTTGAAATTGCCTGTGTTTATCTCCATTAAATTGCTATATTAAATTAAAAAATCTAATTTTGTAGGTCTGATATGGCTATAGAGTCATTTATTCTTCATAATACATTTGAATGAGAAATACTCTGAATTGCAGAAATTTGAATCAGGAATTAAAGACATGTTTTAAAATAATTTAACTTAACTTTCTACAGATGGTCCCTCCTTAAAAGAAACATCAGGACCCAGCAGGCAGATTTTACAAGGTATGACAAGTAATTTGTATCTTTTTTTAGTTTTACGAACCCGGTTACATAGTTTTGAGTTGTCTGAAGTTTTCCTTTAAGAAAAATACATAGCATAGTATATATGTTTAAAATGGTAACCTTCATGCGTGGCTAATTGCTTCCATGAACAACTGCCTCCTTTGCCATGAGATCAGAAGAACTAGATGGTGCCCGCTACCATTACTGAACATTTTGATCAAAGATTATATAGAAGAATCCTGATCAAAAGAGGGAACATGTAGAACTGAATTTCAAATTCTCATGCAATCCAAATTTTCTGGAGCCATTGAGGCTAGATCAACCCCGGAAACTATTGCCTTGAGATAATCTTTAAACCTTAAACCAAAAATATCCCCTGAAGTCTTCTTAAAATGAAACAGTAGTTTAACTTAATTAGTAAAGAACGTCTGTCTTGAGCACTGTGCTCTTTTAAAGAACTATCTATATGGAATCAAACTGACAATGGCAACTTGAAAGGTTAGATAGAAAGCTTAGGAGACAGTGAGTTTATCTTAATGTAGGAGGAACAGTTTGGAAAAGGAAGGTAACAATGGTTGCACAACTTGAAGAATGTAATCAATGTTACTGAATTGTACATGTAGAAGTTATTGAATTAGTATATGTTCTGCTGTGTATATTTTCAACTACAACAACAAAAATAAATCATTAAATAAAATGTTAACCTTCATGGAGATTATTTTATTTATAGGAAGCATATCAGCAGACATTCTTTTGGTTGTCCTTTGACTGTTTTCTCAGATTTAATAAGAAGAGCAAAATATTCATAAATTATACTGCTTAAATATAAATAATACCCAAACCTATGACTATAGTAACACTTTACTAATATGTTTACCTTTATAGGATTATTCAGTAGTTTTTCCAGGTATAGTATTTGATACCTATTTATGTTCTGGAAATTTTTAGAGCTCAAAATGTAATACAAATTAAGACCTCGGTCATATCTGTAAGCATCAATTGATGATTCTGAATCGGAGTTTACATGTTATATAAAATGATATATTGCCAAGATACACATGCCACAGAAAATCAGTCTGTATCTGTGAACTATAGTAGTTTGCTTTTTGAGATGTGAACCGATCTTTGGCCCTGAGTTTCCTTTTAGACTCTATTGTCAAGGTTTCCTAATTCCTATCTCCCCATCTTCCTGCCTTTATTAACTTTTGACTTCAGTCTGACTTTCTCAGCAGCTTGTGATCCAATCTTGACTGCACCTATTTTTCTCCACTATTTTGGATATAACTCTTGCATTTTATTTTGCACTGTGAATATGTTCCTCCATACTGTGGAATTTATTTTTAAGGGGCTTAAATATATCTTCCAGTCACTAGTTTTCAATTTGCAAAATATATAGAATTGTTTTAGAATGACAGTTGTTGAAGTAGCTTGTAGTTATGCATATTCGATGTATTTATATCCATGCTATAAATTAGCCTTGATAATAAGAATTTATTTTTAGTTTTGGAAATCATCACAAGTTGGGGTAGGAGGGAAGTTAGATTTGCTTTCCTAATGATCATTTATATAGGTTATCTTTTTAGGAGTCCCTAGGTGGTACAAATGGTTAAGTACTCAACTACTAGCCAAAAGATTGGTGATTCAAACCCCCCAGAGGCGCCTCGAAAGACAAACCTGGCGATCTGCTTCTCAAAGGTCACAGCCTTGAAAACCATACGGAGTTCAGTTCCACTCTGCACACACACAGGGTTGCCATGAGTTGGAATTTACTCGATGGCAACTAACAGCCACAACATCCTTTATATATAAGCTATTGTGAAAATTAGTCTACATTTTCTGAGTATCCAACAATTTATGGTAGCTGAAGCAGCCTAGTAGATAGCTGAAGGATAGAGATAAATGCCTGGTATTAAAATTTTCCAGCAAAATGACCAGGTATAAATACACACATATGAAGAATGACAAGTTAACTGAATTTTTCAGTTATTTGCTGCATCTTAAATATGACTGGCTTCCAGCTTGCTAGGTTCTTGGGCAGTGAGATTATCGGTATTCTACCAAGTCTTCTAAAGCTTTCAACTTTTATATGAGTTAAATATACTAGTTTACGTTTCTTTATTTAGTGATTTTTTTTCTTAAAGAGTTACTAGAAAGTAAGAGGGGCTTAGTTAGTGATGCTTGCTATTAAAACCAGTTTTTAGGTTTTCAGCAAATGAGATGTAGCCAGAGACCTTCCAATATAAGGAAAATTAAGAACAAATGAATCTTTTTCCTTTCAGTGTGTAGGTTTTTTTTTTTTTTTCTTCTTCCTTTTATTCTGATTCTGCCCAAAACAGTGAAGTTTTGTAAAGTTTTAAAAGCATGTATCATGTAGGAGTTTGTACCTTAGGAACCCTCAGTCCACTTAGACATGTATATTTTTGTTTTATTTTTAAAACTTAAAAGTGATTCCAACACTTGTTGTTGTTAGTTGCCATTGAGTCGATTCAGACTCATGGTGACCCCATGTGTGTAGAGTAGGGTTTTCGAGGCTTTGTACTTTGGAAGCAGATCATCAGGCCTTACTTCTGAGGTGCCTCTGGATGGGTTTGAACCACCTACCTTTCGGTTAGTAGTCAAGTGCTTAACCTTTTGCACCACCTGGTACTTATACAGCAGTGTATGTGCTGGTGGTGCTGAGGTTGTGAATTTGAGCCTCACTTGGAGCATGTTTTCTTCCCATACTTTCTTCCAACACTTACTACGTCTATTTATTTCTTTGCTGTTTGAAATACCCTAGAGAAACTGAATGTTTTTTTTTTTCTATAAGTAAGCTTCTGATTTGGTGTTTTTGTTATAGAAAAATGTCTCTTAAGAGAGCCATTAGGTTTTTGAAGAATTGTTACAAAGGTCAAAGCTATACAAATCAAAAAGTGTATCTAGGCACTAAGGAACGAGTTATTTTTGGTATACTACTTGAAATAAAATTCCATAGGAGCAGATTGTTGTTAATAGTGTTTAAATTGATTTTAAAATTAAAATTGACTTTAATTAAAATTTAAAGTTAAATCTGCCTTTGTTAGTTTTTAGAGTTTTTAGTTTAAGTAGATCTGTTTACCTTTAGTCATCCAGTGAATAATAAAAAAAGAATAAGTATTTCTAAAGTAGATACATTTTTTTTTACTCTACCTATTTCTTTATAAATATCATAGTCGATGCTATTGAAGAATGTTCTATTTTTAGCAAGGCATGGTTGAAGTTTAAGAGACAGTGTTTGCTATACAGTAAATTTTAGCCATTAAACATCTAAATGCTGAAGAATTTATATTATCTTAGTTGAGTCTCTTTAAAAATATAAAATTTAATTCTTGACATTTTAAGTGGTTTTCCAGGCAAGTGTTATTTATTAAACGTTAATATTATTTCTAGGTTCTTGGGCAGTTAGTATATCAGTGTCCTACCAATTTAACATTTAAATATTTAAATATTGAAAGTTCAGAACGTACTTTATATACATTATAAAGCTTTCAAATCCCTGCTTTCTTTCACATTGAGTTTGAGCTTAGTATGTAACTGCAGGTAACAAAACCTTTAGGATAATTAATAAAAATATCAGGATTAGTGGAGTTACATGGTCCGTAGGAAATTCTAGTCTCAAGTGGTAATTATTTCAGTCACCAGCAGAGGGCTCTGTGTGTGCGTGTATTTGTACTTAACAAAATGTTTTCTTGACCAGTTCTTTTCGCCTCATGTAGTTTTCTTCCTGTGACAAATGATTAACTCTTGAACTCTTTTAACCAGATGTGAAATGTGAATATGCACAAGCAATTTTAAAATCGATTAATTTCTCTATTTCTTCATGTACATTATAACAAAATATTAAAGCTCATTAAGAGCAAGTATAATTTACAAGTCAGATATTTTAACCCCTGCTGACTTGAAAAAGGAAAGATTATTTCAATTGATAAAGGTACTGTTGTATTGTCACTGTACAGTGAATCTACGTTCTTACTAATTTTGAAATTGGTATTTCGGTTTTTGTTATACATAAAATTAAGAATATAGTTCTAGGAAATATTTATATTTTAAATTGATTGGAAGATATTATTTTGATTCTGATTATGCTTTATTTCTAGGTGTATTTTTACACATTCTGGCAGATACACTCGGGAGTATTGGTGTAATTGCATCTGCCATCCTGATGCAAAATTTTGGTCTGATGATAGCAGATCCTATCTGTTCAATTCTCATAGCCATGCTAATAGTTGTAAGGTAAGTGTTAAGGTGTTATTTTCAAGTCTTAAAATTAGAGATAGGTGACAAATATGCTACTTCAGTTACAGGTCTAAAATACAAATTACTATGTTGGTTTTCTTTTGACCTTCAGCAAATTTCTATGTAGATTATTTCTTTTTTCATTTCTTATTTTTTCTCTTCTTTGGTTACCATTTATTTCTTGCCTACAATTTGATGTGTCTTTTTGGTATTTAACAATTAAATTTTTTGGTTTGCGACGCGATCCCAATCAGTAGTAATCTTCTTGAATTCAACACTATATTTGTAGAGTAAAATATTGGAAATATAAAATGATCAGCTATAGTGAGAATCTTATTCCTGTGGCACCTATATCATGCACTACCAAATGCAAAAAAATATTCAGCTTATTTTGCTAGAACTGTTTTTACTTTGTAAAATAACATTATCATTGCAGAAGTCTTGTAAAAATGCTCCCCAAAGTATATTTATGTGTTTCCTCATCTAGGTTATAAAATTCTTGAGGAAGGATCTGTCTCTTAGCTCTTTATCTCTCTAGTACCTACCATAGTGCCAGTGTGTATATAAAGGTGTAGGTCTATGTGTGCGTATACGTGTGCGTGTGTCTGATTTCTTAAATGTTTGCTGAGTTTGTTATGGTTAGTATTTCAAGCTTATCTCACTCTGTGATACGTTTTATTGTTCATGTAATTTATCAGAATGATAATATGTACTTTTATTTAACAGTCTTCAATTATTTAAAAATATGAATTTTATTGGACTGTTTTTATTTACCCATATGATTTTATTGTCAGTAGAACTATTTTTGTAATAATAACAAAGACCTACTAGAGGGCAGACTATAATGATTTTTATACCTTGTAGTTGAATAGCATAAACTTGTTTAATAGATTGCATTGAAATTATAATCTGTTAAAATTAGTCATAACTGCAGAATTTTAAGATTTTGCCTAAAAAATAGGAAGCAGATTAATCCTGGCTACTTTTATTTCTTACTCGGAAGGAATGCTGTAACAGCCTCCAGATTGGCCTCTCAGTCTCCCTTGGAACTCTTCTCTATACCATGGCCAAAGTAATCTTTCTTTAATAAGCATTTTCTATTACATTTAAAAATTATCTTGTATTTTAAATTCTTCAGTGGCTCTTTCTTATCCTCAGGACCCCTTTAAAAGGTCTTCGTGATGTTACCCCAGACACCTCTTCAGTCTCTCTCTCACTAGTTCTTTGCTCTCCAGGCATAATAAATTACTTTCAGTTCCCTAAACATGTGATAAGCTTTCTGGATTCTGGGCTTTGCTCGTATTTCCTCTGCCCAAAACTCTCTAACTTAAACTACCTACCCTTCTCTCTCCTCTCCCTCCCCAACTACACACACACACACACTCTCTCTTTCTCTCTCTCTCACCCTCTCTCACCCTCTCTCACCCTCTCTCACCCTCTCTCACCCTCTCTCACCCTCTCTCACCCTCTCTCACCCTTCAGATCAGATTTCATTTTTAATGGCACTTCCTTCAGGAAGCATTTTCTGAATCTTCACCTCCCAGTCTGGGTTAAGTATACCTATAAGCCTTCTGCCACCTCTTCCATGGGAGTTGTTTACTATATTGAAATAGCCTGTCTTACTGTCTCTCTCAAGCTCCATGAAGGCAGACTGCACACACACGGGGGTTTGTGGTGGGGAAGAGTAGGAGAGAGAGTGAGAGAACTTTTTAACTAAAATATAGCACACATTAAAAAAAATTGCACAAACCATATCCAACAAATATTTATTAAGTCTGCTCTCTGGCCAGGGGGATGAAAAAGACAAGGTCCCTGCTATTTTGATTTTACATTATAGTAGGGGAGAGAGATAACAAATTAATAAATAACCCACTCAAATATCAAGTAGTTATTTGTATTGTACAGAGAGTTAGGATAATGTGACCATGAGTGAGTTGACACTTTGAGTGGTAAGGAAAGACTCCTGAAGAGTGCATTAAAGCAGAGATTTGTATGTCACAAAAGAGCCTTCCAGAGGAGGAGCATGTAGTCTAGGGAACAGCTTGTATGAAAGCCCTGTAGTGAAAACACTCTTGCTACTGAAAGGAGGTCAGTATGGTTGAAGCGTAGGGAGTAAGGGGAGAGTGGTTTGAGATAAGGAGTTCTGGTGGCACAGTGGTTGAAGAGCTCAGCTACTAACCAGAAGGTCAGCTGTTGGAACCCACCAGCCACTCCACGAGAGAAAGGTGTGGCAGTCTGCTTCTGTAAGGATTTACAGCCTTCGAAAACCTATGGGGCAGTTCTGTTCTGTCCTTACAGGGCCACTATGAGTCGGAATTGACTCAATAGCGATGGGTTTGTTTGTTTTTTGGGGTGGTTTGAGATGAAGGTGGACAGATAGGCCAGGGAAAATTAGCCAGGGTTAGGAGTTTGGCTTTTATTCCAAATGCAGTGGGAAACCATAGTGGAATGGTATTCTTTGATTTATATATTTTTAAATCATTTTGGCTGCTTTGTGGGTAATGTATTGTAAGGGGACATGAGTACAAACAAGCAGACCAGCTAAAATGCTATTGCAGTGAGCCAAGTGAGAGGTGATGGTGGCTTAAGGTACTAATCCTGGAGATGGAAAGACACAGATAAAGTTAAAAAATGCTTTGGGGGTAAGACTGACAAGATTTGCTTCTGTATGAACATACGGGTCAGGGGTGAATGAAAGGTAAATCAAGGGTAACTCCTAGGGTTCTTACTAGAGCAGCTGATTGAAGGTGTCATTACTGAAAAAGTAATGCCTTTGTTTTTGTTTTTTGATCTTATGTTTGTCTTTGAGGGGACTGCAGATTAGAAGTTCTGTTTTGGTTGCTGTTAAGTTTGAGATCACTCATTAGACGTTTATATGGAAAATTCAAATAGGCAGTGAGTATGTTGTTGTTAGGTGCCATCAAGTCATTTCCAACTCATAGCGACCCCGTGTATATAACAGAACGAAGCGTTGCCTGATTCTGTGCCATCCTCACAGTAGTAGGTATGTTTGAGCCCATTGTTGCAGCCACTGTGTCAGTTCATCTTGTTGAGGGTCTTCTTTTTTGCTCACCCTCTTCTTTACCAAGCATGATGTCTTTCTCCAGGGATTGGTACCACCTGAAAACGTGTCCAAATGGGTCTCTTCTAAGTGGCGTTCTGGCTGTACTTCTTCTGAGACATATTTGTTTGTTCTTCTGGCAGTCCGTGGTATATTCAGTATTCTTTGTCAGCACCTTCTTTGGTCTTTCTATATCTTCCTGTATCTTCTGTATACAAATATGGAGTTCTTGAGAGCAGTCAGCTGAGTATAAAGGATTGGAAAATAGTCTACATATGGACTAGAATGGCATTTATCTGGCATGAATGCCACCATTCCCACTCCTTCCGTTCTCCTGGAAGACATCCTTTGGTATTCTTTCCTGCTAAACCCAGTTTAGCTTTAGGGCTCCTTTCTACACAGTGCTTCAGACAGCCAGTCAATCAACCAATCAAGATAAAACCTATTTGTCATCCTTTTCTAGGTCCTACTGACCTACTTATAAAACTTTTCCTCAGTTGTTGTTGTTAGCTGCCATCGGGTGTGCTCCTGACTCATAGTGACCCCATGCGCAACGAGCTTGGACCGTTGTGGTTTATAGGGTTTTCATTGACTAATTTTGGTTTATGTAAATATATAGTGCATATAATTTGATTCCTTTTCATTATTATTAAGCCTTACCACTTTCTTTATTTGCTTTTTTCTTTTTTTCTGATAACAAAAGTAATCCTTGATTATAAAATATTCAAACATTACTGAAATGTATAATTTATCTTTTGACAAGTTCTCATAATCTTACCCCTTGGACATAACCAGAAAACTTTAATGTGTCTTAAATTCATTCAGCAGCTGCTTGAGTGCCTGCTCTGTGCCAGGAAAACAATGGAGACAAATACCCTACCCTCATGGCACTTACATTTTAATGGGAGAGACAGTCAATAAAGCAAATGAACATACAGATAGAATATCAGATGGTGATAAATGCTCTGAAGTAGGGCATGGGAATGGTATTTTAGAAGAGCTTAGAAAGGCCTCTGGATAAGGTGACATTTGAGCAGAGAGCTGAATGTTCAGAGGAAGAGCATTCCAGGTAGAGGGGATGTCAAGTGTAAACACTGAGGTGGGAGCATGCCTGACAGGGTTGAGGGACAGCAAGAAGGGCAGTGTAGATGGAGTGCAGTGAGAAGGGCAGAGAGTGGTAGATATGTGTATCTCAAGTTCAGGAGAGAAGTTGGGGTGGAAGATATAAATTTGGCTGTCATCAGCATAGGTATAGTATTTAAAACCATGAGATTGGAGGAGTTCATAGAGAGAATGAGCATAGACAGAGAGGAGAAGAGGTCTGAGGAATGAGCCCTGGTGGAGGGGAGGAAAAGGAGGTAGCTCTGGCAAAGGAGAATCAAGTGGAAAGGCCAGTAATGTGAGAGGAAAGACTCAGGCATGCACTGTTTTAGAAGCCATGTGAAGAAAGTGTTTCAAAAAAGGAGTAATCAACCCTGTTAAATGCATCTGGGACTGATAATTGGTTATTTAGACGAAAGTGGTTTCAGAAGAGCAAGGAGAAGGAAAGCCTGATCAGAGTAGCCTCAAGAGAGAAGGAAGGGGGAGGAAATGGAGATCACAAGTAGAGTCAACCCTTTCAAGGAGAGCAATGTGATTGCCTGGCTGCACTGAGAGCCCACTTTGAGGTTTGTGGTCATGAATTTAAAGTGAAAACAGCCAGCATGGTTATGTTGTTGTTTTTTTTTTCCCCCACATGTTACATAGCTGCTTGGTAAAAGGTATGGAATAGGCAGAGTTGAATTTAACAGGTTTGGGGTTTTGTCAGGTGAGGACTGATAGAGTGAGAAAAGGGCAAGACAGGGATTATAGTTGTAGGAAATGAAGATTTAAGGTAGTGATAGAAGCTCAAAAAAAAAAAAGTGAATAGGTTAATAGACTGAAGGTTCTGTTTGAGGACAATGAGTGTTAGTGTCAGTGTTAGGAGAAATAGGAAGGTTTCAGATTGTGAGATGCTTGAAATTGAGATCTTAAGGCCCAAGGTATGATCATAGGAGTTGGTATATGACGTGAGATGGAAGATAAGATCATATGAAGGCCAGATGTTGGATGGGTTGTCCACATGAATATTTAAATCAAGGGGAATGAAAGGAGTAGAGGTGGACAGATAATAAGCCAGTTGCTAAACTCTTCAGTGACTGAAGGGAGCTATCAAGATTTTTAACATTGGCCACTAGTGTAGGTAGAGGATGGAATCCTCTGCTGGCATGGGCCTTAGAGGAGCCCTGGTGGCACAGTGCTAAACAGCTTGGCTGCTAACCAAAAGGTTGGCAGTTTGAATCCACCAGCTGCTCCTTGGAAACCCTATGGGGCAGTTCTACTCTGTCCTGTAGGGTTGCTATGAGTCGGAACCCACTCGACAGCAATGGGTTTGGGTGTTTTTTTTTTTTTTTTTTTTGGTTTAGGAGAAACAGTGATCTGGAAGTAGTAGTGATAAACAAGGACATTTACCTTACCGCAAGCCCTAGTAATACTTAGAGTTCTTATGTGCTGTTGAGTCGATTCTGACTCGTAGAGACTCTATATGACAGAGTAGACTGGCTCTGTAAGGTTTCCTAGGCTGTAATTCTTTATCGGAGCAGGTGGCCCGGTCTTTTCTCCCATGGAGCCACTGGCAGGTTAGCAGCCTAGCTCTTAACCGGAGAGCCAGCAGTGCCTCTTGTACTTAGAGTGTCAGAGAGAACATAGCATTGCTTAACAGCTTGTAGGGAAAACACTGTCCTCAGGTGGTAGCCAATTTTGGGGTAAGCAAGAACTTGCTATGAATGTTTAGAAAAGAAGCTGAGGATTTAATGAAAATTACATAAAGTAGTTTTTTCTTTTCTTTTTAGTTATGGAAATAACTATGTATACAAAGAAACTTGGTCAAATATAAAAAAGAATTAAAAAGTTACCCATAGTTCTACTGGCCAGGAGAACCATGTTAATATTTTTGTGGATTTTTCCTTTGGCTTTTTTCTTTCACTTTGAGCCTCTTTTGTTTTTCTCTTAGTCATTTTGTTTGTATTCTGTACATAAAATTACATTCTGACTTAATTTTTTTCCTTTTTTCTGATTATAAAAGTAATGCAGGATCATTATAGAAAATTTGGAAAATGCTGAAAAGTATAAAGAAATAAAGAAAAATCAGTTTGCATCACAACACCCAGAGGTCACTTTACGATTGTTAACAGTATTTCTTGATGTTAAGTTTTAGTCTTTTTTACTATTTTTTTTTATGACGTTTAGTTTCTAGTATATGTACCAGCTATTAAGCGGGGTCAGTACCAGTGCACTCACAGGTTCTGGATGGAAGAGAATCATTATTTGAAGTCATTAAAGTTTTGGGATGAATTATTAGGTAACAAAGGCTTAAATTCAGTGATAATAAATGACAAGGTACAGAGCAGCGTATAAGAATTACTCTTGTAAAAAGGGTGTTTCTAAATTATATATTTCTCTTTACATGTATGGGGGAAGTACAGTATATATATCCCAGAATGTTAATTGGTTTCCTCTGAGTGGTGTGATGTTTAAATTGTGCTGCTTTTCTAATTTTTTAAGGTAAACCAACATTCCTGACTTAACGCCTTAAAAAAGCAGACAATTTTGTGGAGTCCCTGGGCTGTGCAAATGGTTAAGTACTCAGTTACTAGCCAAAAGGTTGGCAGTTCGAACCTGCCCAGATGCACCTCAGAAGACAGGCCTGACAATCTGCTTCTGAAAAGTCACAGCCTTGAAAACCCTACAGAGCACAGTTCTCTGACACATGGGGTAGCTATGAGTTGGAATTGACTCGACGGCCACTAAAAACAACAATAATATGGGAATCTGAAACCGTATCCAAAAAGCAGACAGTTTATTAAAAGGAGGACAATTAAAAAAAAAAAAAAAAAAAGTAGCCCCAGAGTACAAAGTAAAGAAATCCCATTTTCTGTTAAGAAAGCAAACTTAATTTACTTAAATGTTTACATGATGTTGAAATACTTGCAAGAGATCACTCTGAGATGTTTATCAGGTTGGTTAAGAGTTTGCCTAATTAGCTAAGGCTGATTTTAAGAAATAGATAAAAACTCTTAAAGAATCAACAAAATAGAGTATAATGAACTGATTTTCTTACCCTTAATGCATATGTATATTTATAGTTCACCGAGAGCTAGATAAATAATGGCACTCTTTATATATTCTCTAGTTCTAAATGTTGCTCTGTTTAGAATGTGCCATGGAAATAAATATACAACTTTCCCTTCTAGACTACCCAATGTTCATTCTTACTTCCAGAGTGAAAGTGATTTCTTAGAAAAAAAGCAGTTTTTCTCTCAACATTTTCTAACATAGTTAGTCAAAGGGTGATACAAATTTCAAGGTAAAGCTGCGTTGTACTGTGATGAATTTTGTTTCCCAATGAAAAGCAGGAGTATAATAGTGAGAGTGTAGTTTCTTATTTTTTGAAAATACACTTTCTATTAGGGATTTCAGAATAGTTTTACTCTTTTTTTCCCCATTAGTGAAGTGAATTGGAATGGAAAGTGAATTCATAGCTTAGAATACAGAAATAAGAACGACTAGTTGTAGCTTTGAATCTCACTGCAATTTAAAAGCAGTAGCATTTGCATAGCTCTGTAGCTCGATTTTTGATTCATTTAAATAAAAATGGTATCTCTGCATGATGGAGAATACAAAATATAATCAGGATGCAGAAATAAGCTCTGTTACTGTTGGGATTTTTTTTTTTTTTTTTAATATCAGTTTTCTGCAGTTTTCACCAGGTATGATCTTATGGTTGTTTGTACCTTTTTACAATAATGATTTGTATATACATAAGAAGATTTTTAATTAAAACAAAATGTCTGTGTTAGGTGCAAAAGATTTTTAAATAAAATTTATTTCTTGTCATATTGAAGAAAAACTGCCTCAACTGTTAGAGACAAGCAGTGGTACAACCTTTAGAAATGACAGATAATGGCCATAAATAGAGGTGCAAAGTGTAAAAAATATGCACTAATTAAAAGAAATGATAAACTTGAAATTCTTAATCACAGATTATTGTCACTGTTAATGAGTACAGGATTTCGACCAGAGACTGATTTTGACAAAACTTTATACTAAGTATCAAGTAAGCATTTTTAGTATGTAGGAAGCTAACCAAATCTTCAAACACTCATATGTATGAGAAGTTATGGAGTTTTTTTTTTTTGTTTCAGAAACGGTTTTGGGCGTTGCCTAACAATTTCCTTTGTGGTTTACCTTTCAAGTGAAGTTATAATTTATGAGCTATACTTTTGGGGACTAAGATAAAGGTAAATAGTTTCCCAAGATTTTTATTTGCTGCTTGTATATGTATCTATATTATAAAATTTTTAACAGATGAGAACATTTCATAAAAATTATAATTCTTAATCATATATAAAATAAACCATCATAGAGTGAGCATGATTAATTGAACAGCCTTTCTCAGCTGGAATTCCTGGAGAGAATTAAGCTGATTTATCTAAGGCATCCAGTGTATCTAATTGTTGTCTCCTCACGTATGCATCTAGAAAGGAACTGGTCATGTACTTACTGTCTTTGAGAAAATTGAGAAATAGTCATTCAAATAGTTCTGTGTTCTATGGTTCAGACAAAGAACCCTGGGTAAAAAAAGGCTGGCAGAGGGTCTTAGAAAAAACAGAACAAGTGCACTTAGGCTGAAAGGAATTTTGCACTGACAACCAAATAACACAGGAATGTCATTTAAAAAGCATTTAGTAGTTTTTGTTGAACGGTCTGCTTGTCCTTGACATTTTCTTAGGTTCCGAGGATACAGTGTCAGGCACTAATTCAATTCTCACAACCACCAGTAAACGCTTACGAATATATTGAGCAAAATCTCCGCTCATTATCCTCCCACCTCCATCATCGATACACACACACACACACTTCATAAACGTTCCTTAATTGTCAAAGCCTCCAAAGAGTTGTAGCTTCTAGTTTCAGGAATTGGCAATTTCCAGGACGGGGCTTCTCTGGCCAGTGAAAAGGGAGTATATTTTTTGATCTCTAAGATTACAGTCTGGAGGGAGTTGTGTTTTCCATGTTCTTATTTGAAACTCCTTGCATTTTTCCATTAAAAAATTGTACTTGTTCACTTACTATAGTTTAATATATTAGCACTACACTTGGAATAGAACCTAACCACTTTTTATATTGTTTCCTGTGGGAAAATAGTGGTTTTCAAATTATTGTTGTTAGGTGTCATCGAGTCTGTTTTGACTCATAGCAGCCCCCCGTGACAGTAGTACTGCCCCATGGGTTTTCTTGGCTATAATCTTTACGGAAGCAGATTGCCAAGTCTTTCTCTCTCAGAGGTGTTGGGCGGGTTCAGACCACCAGCCTTTACGTTAGAGCCGAGCGCTTAACCGTTTGTGTTTTTAAATAGCAACTTAAAAATACCTTAAAACAGCCAATTTGTAAGTTAGGAACCACCTGTATTTTACTTAGGTAATCATCGCCTAAGCCATCTGTCAGCATTTCTGTTGGTGATTATGGTAGCTCAGTCTCTTTCTTTAGGTGTCCACAGCTTCCATGGTGCAGCAGTAGGGGTGCCCTTTGTTGCACTCCTTAACTTCCAGAACATTCAGATTTTCATGAGTCATTGGAGTTTTAAAAAATGAGTTAACCCTTTTAAGCACTTTACTTCCAAGCAAAAATTGTTTCAGGTACATAGTAAAGCTTTTACTTTTTTCTTCTAATCATACTCTAACTAGAAATTATAGAAGCGAAGACCCTTAGTGAGATGGATTGACACAGTGGCTGCAATAGTGGGCTCAAACACAGCAGTGATTGTGAGGATGGTGCAGGACCGGGCAGTGTTCCGTTCTGTTGTATGTAGGGTTGCTATGAGTCAGAACCGACTTTATGGCACCTAACAACAACAGCATCTTTAGAAAATGACTCATGGATGATATCTCCAGTTAAAGTATTTATTTGTAACTGAGAGAAGCACCGTAACACAAATCTAAAATGATTGTGTGGAAGCAAGCTGAACAGAGCCTTCTGAGATACCATCTTCCAGTCTGGGTAATTCAGTGCTCCTTTGTTGAAATTCATTTGTTTCCTTTTTAAACAGCAAAAACACAGCACACTGTATTTTTTCCTCCAAGCTAAAGATAAAAACTCTACCAAAACTCAAGAAGAGCTGCTTATTGTATTCAAATAAGAGAAACAGGAGCATAGCTTTAGCAAGAGCATGATATTTCTGTTTTTAGTCTAACCCTACCAGTTTTGTTGCTGGTGTATTTAAATTATAGCTCCTCCAAGGAAATACATATTTTGTCATTGACTTTGTTGAAGTAGAAAAGCTAAAATGAAAGAAGAAATTCAAAATGAGCGTATTATTCCTTTACCTCCCCCCCAAAAAATTTTAGAACTATTATTTCCAATAAGGAACTGTTTAATTTTGCTGTTTTGTGGTTTATGATTTATGTTTCTATTATAAAGGAGGAAAGTAAGAAATAAATTAATGGTGTAATATAACCAGACTTATATTTGTCAGTAGTAATTTAAGGTGTAATGATGGTATATATTAAGTACATTTCTTAGATTAAAAATCAAAACATCTCCCTTCTTCCTTCTGCTTATGCCTTACCATTCTGTAGTATGGACTTGGTTTGTAGAGCGTTTGTTTCTGAATTAAGGAAGCTTACTGGGAGTGTGGTTCAGTGTGCCAGAGAAGTGGAATACAGGGTTCATCAGGTAGTGTGAGAGATGGACCTGTACACAAGTATAAACAGTACAGAGCTATACTAGAAAAACGAACAAGGCAAATACAAGCATAAATGGTAGTCTGATCAAGGGACCCCTGTCCTGTAACTGTTGGTATATCATCATTGCTTGCAGAATAAATATGTTATGATTATAGTTCTCAGAGTCCTCTGTTACCTGCCTCCAGCCTACCTTTCAGACCATATTTTCCACAGCAGTCACTATTTCGTATTACCCTTTGTTTTAACTCTGTCACTTGTTATTTCTAGAGAATATTCTATGTTTTGCTGCATCTATACCTTTGCTCATAGTTTTCTTACCTGGAATGCCTTTCTTCCTCATCTTTTTCCCATGACAATCCTAACAATCCTTTAAAGCTCAACTCTAATGCAGATTCTTCCATGAATATTTTTCTTCTGTTTCTAAAGTATTTGTGTATAACTCTGAATTTATCAAGTTTTTTTTAATGATGGCACTGTATATAGTAGCGTATCTCTGTATACACATCCATACCAGTGCATGAGCATAGGACTGTTTTATTCATCTTTGTATCATTATGCCTTGTGCTAAGTAATATTTGTTGAATTCTGGTTATCTAGATTGGGAATCAGGAGGCTTGGGTTATAGTTCTGGCACTGTGACATTCAATTTTCTGGACCTCTGTTTCCTCAAATGTGGGTTTTGGGGCTCCCTTCTAACTTTCATGATTGTATGATTAACAACTTCTTTATGGAGTGTTTACATGTAATCCCTTTCACATGTTAAAAGCCAAAGCTAACAATAGGAAGGAGGAGTTCACAGAGTATAGTCTCCTTCAAGGATGTGCAGTTAGTGAGCTATCAGGATCTGAATGCAAAAAAGTACTAGAAAGTAGAAACTAATTAGATATTACAGATTTTAATAGGGACAACCAGGAGCCATTTAAGTTGTGAACTGCTAGAATGTAAGAATGTCATCTTTTCTTTGCCCTATAACCTAGATTAAGCACTTAGATATTTTCAGATCATAGTGAAAAATGAAAGTCAGAGATTACATCTGCTTAAAGTGTTGATATAGAATATTTTCCTGAGAAATTATTCAAACTGTCTCTGTGTAAAATGGAGGAAGAGGAGTCATCTAGTAGGGGTGCATGTAGATTAGTATATTAATGCTTGTGTAGCTCTTCATTTCTGCTTAGCATTTTACATGTTCTTGGAATTGGTTAGCCTTCCCAGTTTTGCTGGGGAAAATTAATCAATGTTAAGTAAATAAAAACCTGCCAGTATGGCCTACAAAACATACTATATACCCATGTAAGAAGCTGCTTGATTGCAAATTTATGCTGTAATTCAGAACATCCAATGCTGTGATTTTCTATTTATGGCTCATACTGGAAACTTTAAATTACTTGTGTTTAATATGTTTTAACCAAAACCTTCAAACTGCAAATATAGCTCATTTGATTTATGGGAATACTGTCTAACCTAATCGGCAGAGCTAGTCTTCATCATCAACCCAATCAGTCAAATCATTTCCATCTTTTTTTTTGGTCAGAAAAAATGGTACTATAATTTTCAATTAAATAAATGTATTTATCCCCATGACAATCATCTTACTTCTGACTGCATCAAAACCTAGGTTCCTCACGTAGTACTTTGAAAAAGCATGCGTTTTAGCACCTTTTTAGTAGTGACATCCAATCCTGATAGAAATCGATACTAACTTCTTGGTAACCAAAGCCAGTTTTTTCCTTTTTTTTTTTTAAATAAAAGGGTTTCCAAATTAAAATAGTGCTTAAAGCATAGACATGAATAATATGGCCACTCTTATGCCAAATCACTGCACATACCCATTGTAACTCCACCTTCTGCAATAAAAGTGTTCAGAGTTTTGAAAATCTCTCCACAAGGTTTTACATGCCATAGTCATACTCATCATGACATTTTTGTTTGTTTTGTAGCTGTAATAGCAGATGCAAATAATTTACTAGAAATGATTGGAAACATCTTTGGATTCATCAATATGTAATGGATGTATTTTATCTGTATAAATACAGATTTTTGCCACAATCTTCTGAGCTATGTTCTTTGCCATTTCATGCATTTTGTGAAGTAGAGTGGTGTCTGAATTGAGGATTGAATGAGTTGCAGTGATAGCCTTGACATCTAACTTTTTTTTTTTTTTACAGTCACCTATATACTACATTCTTACTATCACCTGTACACTACAGGTTTGGTTTGGGTTTTATACACTACATGTTATCACTGTCAAATATGATTGTCTAACTATAATGGTGAGCAACAGTACTTTATATGACGTTTCTAAAGCCAACTTTGATGACAATATTTAAGCTGTTTACTTTTTCGTAACTAATACTCCAGCTTTCCTCCTTAACCCGTTGCCATAGAGTTGATTCCAACTCATAGCGATCCTACAGGACAGAGTAGGACTGCCACATAGGGTTTCAAAGGAGCATCTGATAGATTTGAACTACCAACCTTTTGATTAGCAGCCAAGCTCTTAACCACTGAACCACCAGGGCTCCTTCCTCCTTAAAAGCATTAATAACTATTTTAAGGGCTGTGTATTTTATGAAAGGAGCCCTGGTGGCACAGTGATTAAGTGCATGAATGCTAACCAGAAGGTCTGTGGTTTGAACCAGCCAGCCACTTCTTGGGAGAAAGATGTGGCAATCCGCTTCCGTAAAGGTTACAGCATTGGAAACCCTATGGGGCAGTTCTGCCCTGTCCTATAGGGTCACTGTGAGTAGAAATCGACTCGATACATTTTTTATATTTTATAAATAAATGACATTGGAAGAGGTAAAATTCTTCAGTGTTGCTTACAAAGGCTTCATGGAACTTCACTCAGCAGTGATATATTGTCAGTATTTGGGAGATAGTATAGGATAGATCATTAATAAAATTCTTATCACTCTTGCCATCCCACTTTACAGTATATCTGGACACAGAACATTGCAATGTGGGCCAGAGGACCTTGTTTCTATGCTTTGCTCTTAATTGGAATGCATATAAGGCAGGGAAAGACACACAACTGTACCTCAGGTTTATGTTGCCATTATTAGAGGCTTGTCAGACACCAGTATTTCAAACGGTCTCTTTTTCTTTTTTGCTACCTGTCTTAGTTTCTTAGTGCTGCTATAACAGAAACAGCACAAGTGGATGGGTTTAACAAACAAACTTTATTTTCTCACAGTTTAGGAGTCTAGAAATTCAAATTCAGGGCCCAGGCTGTAGGGAAAGGCTTTCTCTCTTTGGGCTCTGGGCAAGGTCCTTGATTATTTTTTAGCTTCTGTTTCTAGGTTCCTTGGAAAACTTTATGTGGGGTGCCATCTATCTTCCTGTATCTGTGCATCCTTCCTTCTGTGCCTAATCTGCTCTTTTTATATCTAAAAGGTGATTGGCTTAAGGCACACCACACCCTACACTGATATGGCCTTAACAAAGAAAACCCTATTCCTGAATATGGTTACACATCCAAAACTATAACCTGTTGCTGTGAGTTGATTTCAACTCATAGAGACCCTATAGGACAGGGTAGAACTACCCCATACAGTTTCCAAAGCTGTAGTCTTTATGGAAGCAGATTGCCATATCTTTCTCCCCGTGGAGTGGCTGGTGGGTTTGAACTGCTGACCTTTTGGTTAGCAGGCAGGCGCTGAACCACTGCGCCACCAGAGTTCCTTTTCCACAGGAATAAGGATTAGGATTTACAACGCGTATTTTTGAAGGACACAATTCCATCCATAACAGTACCTCAAGGATTTTTAAATCTTGCCACAGTTTACCATAGTAATATTTTCATGGGTGAGAGGTATGCTTTTCCTTTAGCAAGTGGTTGAAGAGTAATTGTAAAATGAGAGGGGAGCATCAGAGAGCTGCTTACTAGAGGGATGGTCTCAGATGGGTCAGTTTTAGGAATACCTGTGGAAGTAGAGGATCAGAAATTTTGTTCTCTAAAACTATCTATTGCCAACATCTGTTGGAAGGTCTGTGGGTACCGACAGGGTATTCTTTGTGACTGATGTAATTGGAATGTAATACATACCCCTATACGTACTCCAGTTTGAAGACTCCTGCCCTAAATTCCAGTAGTACCAAATTGTTTGCACTTTTCAGAACACAGTATGTTTACTTTATACCTCTGTATCTCTGATCACCAAGTATCCTCTCCCTGGAATATCTTTCCTGCTAATATCTACCTTTTGAACACCTCTTGTAAGATTCAACTCAAAGGACATCTTATTTGTAAAGCCTGTTTTGCCACTACTGTGTAGAATTAACTGGGGTTTTTTTTTTTTTTTTCTTTTGTGCCTTGAATACTTCTGTTATAGCGTCTGTCACATTTTATTAAACTTGTTTGTTTAAATGTTTCTCCTACTAGACTGGAAGAGAATCACCATATATATTACTTTTATATTACTGTGTGACAAATTACTGCAAAATTACTAGCTAAAAACAACACCCATTTATTATCTTAACAGTTTCAGTGAGTCAGGATTGTGGGCATGGCTTAGCTGAGTCCTCTGCTCAAGGTCTCATAAGGCTGCAATCAAGGTGTCGGCTGGGGCTGTGGTGTCATCTGAGGCTCAGGGTCCTCTTCCAAGCTCATGTGGTTGTTGGCAGAATTAATCTCCTTGCAGCTGTAGAACTCATAGCTGCTTACTTCTTCAAGATCAGCAGGAGAGAGGCTCTGACATCAGGGAAGGCCCTACTCCCTCTTTTAGGGGCTTTCATCTGATTAAATGGCATTTGGCTGCTAATCAGAAGGTTGGCAGTTCGAATCCACCAGCTGCTCCTCAGAAACCCTATGGGGCAGTTCTACTTTGTCCTATAGGGTCTCTGTGAGTCGGAATTGACTCGACAGCGGTGGATTTGGATTTTTGGTTTATCTGATTAAATGAGACCCGCCTGGTAGAACAATGGTTAAACATTTATCTGCTAACCTAAAGGTTGTTGGTTCAGACCAACCCAGCAGTTCTGCAGGAGAACGACCTGGTGATCTGCTTATGTAAAGATTACAACCTAGGAACCCTATGGGACAGTTCTCCTCTGTTGCATTGGGTCGCTGTGAGTCAGAATCAACTGGATGGTACACAACAATAGCAATAGATCAGGGTGGGGGAGGAGGAATTTAAGGTGAGTTCAAGGTTTCTAGCATGGATGACTGGGACCCAACAATAACAATCTAGGATAATATCTTTTGATTTAATTCAAGATCAACTGATTTGGGACCTTAATTACATATGCAGAATCCCTCCATCTTTGCTGTAGTCTGTTGCCTAGAAACAAGTCCCAAGTTCTCCCCCGTACTCGAAGGGAAAGGATTTTATAAATAAGAGTGTGCCACACCTTGTCTTTCTCTTGTCTATTCTGAATACCTAACCTAGTGACTGCAAAAGAATTGGTGTTTGCCAGTGTGGAATGGTAGGGTAGATGGGTGTATTGATGAATGGATGGAGGGCAAAACGGAAGCACAGGCTAATTGTCACTTTCTCAAGGTCTCAGTCATGGTTATACAGGCTTTAGTGTACTCTGCTTTCCTGTTAAGTTTGTATTATTACCTCACGATGCTCTCGGGGTAGGGGTGGGGGATTAGAAGTGAGCCTTTGAATGTATTTTTTAATATAGTTTGACTTTGGAATCATCTATAGTATGTGTTTTACCTCTTTAAAAGATAAAATTAAAGGTAGAAAGCATAGTATTTCTTAACTCTTAATTTACTTGCTTCAAAAAGAAAAAAATTTGAGCCCCTTTTGTTTCTTCAGTTTTAATGTTCATTATTTATTTGTGTGTAATTAATTTGAAATTCTCCACTGCTAGATAGAGCATGCACTTAGTTACTCTATTCTTTTGCTTACTTTTTTGAAAACATGATTTTTACTCCTACCTCAGCAATTATGTGTTTTAATGTATTCAGCATCCACTATAATGTGACACTTTGAGATGTTCAATAAAAAATATATTCTCACAATATTTTCAAAATTTAATTTGGGTGAACAAATAAGGATTCTTTTTCCTTTACTTTTTATTTTCATATGTTGGGTTTGCTCCTGACAAACATGTGACTTTTGGAAGTCAGTATTGAGTGTGGTCCCCAAGTGAATATTAGGTGTCAGGGATTTCTGATTTCTGCTCATGTTTGACCAAGCCAGTCAGCTCTCAAGTGGAAAACTTTGGCATTGTTAGCTGTCACTGCCTCTTGCCAAGGTCCTCTTGGGTCATTTCTCCTGCTCATCTATTCCAGAGCTTTTTCATCCCTTTCTTTGGTCCAGGACTCCTGCACACGTTTGAAATCAGCTTCTCTTAAAGTCAGAGCTCTTCTGTAGGCAAAGGTGCTTTGGGTGAGTCAGCAAAGCTACTTTTATGGCTTTGTTGGAGGCAGTATGGCCAAGCAGTTAAAGGCATTCACTATGAATCCAAACTGCCTAGGTTGAAATCTTGATTTTACCACCTAACTCTGTGACCTTGGGCAGGTTACTTAGCCTCGTGCCTCAATTTTTCATCTTTAAAGTGGACATGATAATAATATCTACCTCAAAATTGTTGTGTGTGGATTAAGCGTGTTGAAGAGTGCCTGCTGCATAGGAAACATTGTATAATTGTTAATGGCTTGCCTGCCTGTTTTCCCTCCTAAAAAACGTTGTTGTAATCTCTGCTTACTACAGTGACATTCTCTTGTTTCATGGTAACTGATTCTCATTTACTCATTTACAAATGGGAAAACGAGAGGAGGGAAGGAAAAGAAAGGAAGGGAAGGGAGACGCTAAAAAATTTGTGTTTGTCATGGTTACTTTGATGTCATGATGCTCAGGACCAGTTCTTGTTCACTTGGAAAGGTGCATCTTACCACTGTCACTGGTATGATAGGCCAGCCCCCAAACCAAACCTTCTGCCATCCACCTCTGTCACTTAAGAGGGCAAAAGATTTGTTACAGTTTAGAGGATGCCCTTTTCTACATCTCTCCACTACTCTTCTGTCACTGTGTTTCTTCATAGCAGCATACTCAGCCATCTAGAAGAAAAGCTGTATTACTGCATTGTGAGGAAGTGATGGGGTTTGGACAACATGTAGTTTGGATCTGTTACAAATATACCATGTTTTAACTTGAACCAGATAGACATAGTTTAGCTCAGATTCTTAATAACTTTCTCGAACCTAGAGATTAATCAGTACTTTGGTCCCAGTCCTCTTGAATTTTTCTTGCTGATCTTTTTTGTTAACTCAGGGTCTGCTTTTCGTTCTGGAGTAAAACTTGTGATACCCGAAGCTGTTTGAGTGTAATTAATTTATTTTGACAGTCTTCATAAATATATCTTGCCGTCTTGTCTAGTTTTTCTAAGTGAGTCCTATTTCTTCACGTCCAAACTTTTTTAAAATGCAGGCTTCCATAAAGAGCTTCATCACCTGCCTTTATCCATCCTATTTTAACACTGCTTTCAGTTGGTTACAAGGATAGTGGAAAGTTCCTCTAGGTCTCATTGTCCTTTCAGCACAAATGTTACCATATTAATACATACTGAATTTATTCCTGCCAAATCTACTCTCAG